AAATGCTGAGAATAAACACACTCGTGTCATGTTCATTTTATCTCGTTGGACAGTGTTAGTCAGCGTCTGCAGTGGAGTAGGTCGTAGAGTAATGCTCGTGGATGTAGCATATGTGATCGACCAGAGTTTGAATCTGCTTTTGCCGAACTCGCTCTTCTTCCTTTTATCATCACATATCACATATCATATTATAATGACTTTAATCTCGAGATGGTTTTATTTTTTTTTATTATTGCTTGGCCCTAGTCCTCTTCCATAGGAAACCTTGATTATTATGATTATGAAAATTACACGACTGCTTGAATGTCTACATCCTTAAAGGGGTCATATGATGCGATTTCAATTTTTCCTTTCTCTTTGGAGTGTTTGCCGGGATCCGTGAGTACTTTTTGTGTTTTTGCCTCTAAAATGGCTCTTGAATGGTGTTGTGTACAGACTGTAATTGGCAGGCAGAAATTCATGGTCAGTTGATCCAGCCTGAATTACTGTAGCAGATACAGTTTCCTGTGATCTATTGAATTACGCTTCCATCTTTCACAGTAGAGACTTCAAGAGGATTGAAAGTTGAATAAAACTCCTGATTAATCAATGTATTGATACATATGAGTCATGTTTGTGTTATAATAATTTGTTCTTCAGCAGTTTTGAACCGAAAGTCACATATCTGTGCATTATTTGCATCTATAATGCCTTTTAATACACACTGTTTTGCATTATTACAAATAATTGTAATACATACTGATTCTCGGTTATGCATTTTAAATGTATGCATTGCAATCATGTGATCAAATGTGTATAGTTAACAGATTAAAGGTGTGGTTAGACTTATGGAAAAATATAATGCATTATAAGATATTGAACTTATGACTTTAGTGTTGCTGTCACTGTGCTTTACTGTGTGACTTACTGTGTGTGTAGTTTAGACAATTTAAAAGGTTTCAGTATCATATGAGGTTTCAGTAGTTCACCCCAAAATGAATATCTTTCATTATTTTCTCACTATTGTCATTCCAAACCTTTATGACTTTTTGTCTTCTGAGCAACACAAAAA